TCCTTTCCGCCCCTGTTTCCCCTCCTTTCCGTCCCTGCTTCCCCGCCTTTCCGCCCCTGCTTCCCCTCCTTTCCGCCCCTGCTTCCCCTCCTTTCCTCCCCCGCTTCCCCGCCTTTCCACCCCTGCTTCCGCTCCTTTCCGCCCCTGCTTCCCCTCCTTTCCGCCCCTGCTTCCCCTCCTTTCTGCCCCTGCTTCCCCTCCTTTCCGCCCCTGCTTCCCCTCCTTTCTTAGTGCAATCACACTGTACCCATTCATGCCCTCCCCTCCCCTCGTCAGACGCATCATGCGCCACTGCTCGAGTAGGATGCGAGGCTCTCTACGCCCTCACATAACCGTCTATTTCTCCCCGCGAACCCTTTCTGTGAGGCTGCGAGGCCCCGCTCTCCGTGCCTGCACAGCACATTCAACCCCTCCCTCGCCTCCCTCCCTCGTCTCCTCCCCTCATTCCCTCCTCTCGTCTCATCCCCCCACCCCACCCGTAGGCTGTTCGCGCCCTCAGCGGACCACGTGGACCTCTCCTGTATCACACTGGCATTTATTGCATTTGGTAACAGGAGTGATATAGAAGCGCCATTCCTCTCGTCCATCCTCCCACTCCCCCATCCCACGTCAGGCTATTCGCGCCCTCAGCGGACCATGTGGACCTCTCCTGCCCGCCTTGGCCATTAGACTATCTAGCAGTGGGCTCTACGAGTGACATGCACATGCCCCTCCACTCTTCTCGTCCCCCCACCCCACCCCACCCCTTTCGCAGGCTGTTCGCGCCCTCAGCGGACCACGTGGACCTCTCCTGCCCTCCGATCGTCTCCCACCGTCTCCTACTCTCCAATAGCGCTGCAGAACCCACCTCCTCGCCCCATGCCCACGTCTCCCGTCCCTCCCCCATTCTCGCCCTCCCTCTCCTCCCTCTCCTCACACTCCTCGCTTCCGCATGCCTCCAATTTTGGCATTCCAGACCCCTCTGAAGCCCTCGCTCACACGCCTCCTCTCTATGCCATGCCCCCTGGCCAATCCATTGATGCCACGTGGCTCGCCTACCTGGCAGACTTTTGCTGCCTTGGTTCCCTCCGGCTTGACAACTGTCGCTACGTCACAGACTCTGCTCTCAGCATGCTCTCAGGTATCCTGGAGATGCTCTCTCAGGTGATCCCTCAGGTGCTCTCATAGGTGTTTCCTCATGTGGTTTTTAGGTGCTCTTTCAGGTGCTCCTTCAGGTGCTCACTCAGCTGCATGTTGTCGGGTGCGTCTTCATGTTTGACGTGCACGCGTTGGAGCACTTAAGTCTCACCAACTGCCCTCTCCTCACCGCCTCTTTTCTCGCCACCATCCTGCTGCCCTGCCTGCCCGCCCTGCTCGCCACCATCATGCTCTGGGTGATAATGCCTTTAAGAAGCTCACGGTGAGTCGTCCCTGCTCCCACTGTACCTACCACATGCTGCTTCCAGCGCAGCAGGCACCTCAGCCTGCATACCAGCCCCATTTGTGATTTATCTGCTCGCCCTCGCCCCTCACCTCACTCACCTGGAGCTGGGAGGCATGCACCACGCGCTGGATGATAATGCCTTTTTGAAACTCACTGTGGGTCAGAATGTGCTAATTGCCATTTTCCATGCTCAACCTCCATGCTCCCATCTGTCAGTGTGGGGTAGCAGCATCACCAACGCCTTTGCCCCGCTGCTCCTCGCCTCCCCCTGCCTGCTCCCACTCTCCCTCACCCCTCAAGCATGCGTGCTTATAGCACTCACTTATAATTGCCCCTTCCCACCCTTGGATCCTTCTACCCACAACCTTTCCCCACTCCCCCAATCCCCCACCCCTCCTCCCCTTTCCCCCCCTCTAGCCCCCCTCCGCTAGCCCCTTGCTTCCCCCCTGTTAGCCCCCTATTCCCTCCCTGCTTGTCCCTTGTTCCCTCCCTCGTCCAATCTCCTCCCTTGCTCCCTTCCTCTCTACCGCACATCCTCCCTTTGCCTATGTCCTGCCTTTCCTCCCTTCCTTTCCCTCATTTTCCACCCAGCGGCCCCTCATTTCCCCGCTGTTCGTTATGGTCCCCCCTTGATTACCCTTCCTTTACCCCATGCTAGCGTTCCTCCCCCCTGCTCACCCTTCCTAACCCTCCAGCTTACCCTCTGTTTCTTCTCTCCTGTCTGTTTTTATTTTTTCCTTGACAGCACCACAATGGCAGGAGGAGAGCCGTGTTGTTATTGAGTAAAGCTCTTTGCACCTTGGTGGAACTAAATACCAGTATACAGTTGTACCGGCTTGTGTGTGGCATAGTGTATCAATCAAACGATCTGATAGCATATTACAACAGTTCATTCAAGATTTCTAGCGCATGCAATAGCTTTGATGACGTATATAACATCTGTAAATTGCAAACCTTACATCTTATAGATAAAGCATTATTACATGATGCAACTGGGCACAGCACTGAGGTATGCAACTTGTGCAATATGGTGTACACATTCCAAGGTAAATGCGAGTCTTGACTCCTCCTCTAGTTGTTTAGCGTTCGCTCAACACTTCCTTGAGCCTGCGGCTGCTCCCTTTACTCTGCCAAACTCCTCTGAGCCCGAACTGGTCATGCTTGAAGTGGAAACAAAGGGATGAGCGATGGGTGGAAAGGTACATTGGGAGGGAGAGGAGAGGCACATGGGGAGGGAGAGGAGAGGCACACGGGGAGGGAGAGGAGAGGCACATGGGGAGGGGAGAAGCGGGGCAGAAGGAGTGGGGAAGCAGGGCATAGGGAGGGGGGAAGCGGGGCGGAAGGAGGGGGGAAGCATGGCAGAAGGAGGGCGGAAGCAGGGCGGAGGGAGGGGGGAAGCAGGCCAGAAGGATGAGGGAAGCATGACAGAAGGAGGGAGGAAGCATGGCAGAGGGAGGGGGGAAGCATGGCAGAGGGAGGGGGGAAGCATGGCAGAGGGAGGGGGGAAGCATGGCAGAAGGAGTGGGGAAGCAGGGCATAGGGAGGGGGGAAGCAGGGCAGAGGGTGGGGGAAGCATGGCAGAAGGAGTGGGGAAGCAGGGCATAGGGAGGGGGGAAGCGGGGCGGAAGGAGGGGGGAAGCATGGCAGAAGGAGGGCGGAAGCAGGGCGGAGGGAGGGGGGAAGCAGGCCAGAGGGATGAGGGAAGCATGACAGAAGGAGGGGAGAAGCATGGCAGAGGGAGGGGGGAAGCATGGCAGAGGGAGGGGGGAAGCATGGCAGAGGGAGGGGGGGAAGCATGGCAGAAGGAGTGGGGAAGGAGTGGGGAAGCAGGGCATAGGGAGGGGGGAAGCATGGCAGAAAGAGTGGGGAAGCAGGGCATAGGGAGGGGGGAAGTAGGGCGGAGGGTGGGGAAAGCATGGCAGAAGGAGTGGGGAAGCAGGGCATAGAAAGGGAGGAAGCGGGGCGGAAGGAGGGAGGAAGCATGGCAGAAGGAGGGCGGAAGCAGGGCAGAGGGAGGAGGGACGCAGGGCAGAAGGAGGGGGAAAGCAGGGCAGAGGGAGGGGGGAAGCATGGCAGAATGAATGGGGAAGCAGGGCATAGGGAGGGGGGAAGCAGAGCGAAGGGTGGGGGAAGCATGGCAGAAGGAGTGGGGAAGCAGGGCATAGGGAGGGGGGAAGCGGGGCGGAAGGAGGGGGGAAACATGGCAGAAGGAGGGCGGAAGCAGGGCGGAGGGAGGGGGGAAGCAGGCCAGAGGGATGAGGGAAGCATGACAGAAGGAGGGGGGAAGCAGGGCGAAAGGAGGGGGGAAGTGTCAACGGGAGTGTTGTTAGGCCCCGTCCTCGCTTGGGCGGAGCCGACCTCGTGGTCGGATGTGCGGGGGTTGCAGCCGATCTGCAGCAGTGGGCACGGGGGCCACTGCAAGGGCGCTGAGCTGGAGGGCGCCTGGCTGGAGGGCGCCGAGCACGAGGACGTCGCCCTGGACGCCTGGTTGGCGTCCTGGGAAGCTGGACGCCGACCTGGGCGTCGGCACGACTACCCGGGCGACTGGTCAGCGTCGTGGGCGGGCGCCCGCACGGCGTCCTGGAAGGCCAGGCGCCGACCTAGGCGTCTGCAGGACGTCCTGGGGGGCCGGACGCCGACCTGGGCGTTTGATCGGCGTCCTAGAAGGCTGGACGCCGCTCTGGAGGTCTGCACGGCGTCCTGGGCGTCTGGACGCCGACCTGGGGGTTCGGACGGCGTCCTGGGCGCCTGGACGCCGGATTGGGGATGCCGGGCAGTGGTGGCCGGCTACGGACTGCGCAGGTCGATCAGGCGTAGTTGCCCGGTCGACCGGGATACCCGGGCGACGTGCGCGAGTGTCGCCGGGGTGGAGTCTGCGAGGCCGACCTCGGGGGTGGTATCCCGAGGTCGATGTGGCTGGTGGGCGCAGTCGCTGGCGTGGAGTCTGCCAGGCGTCTGCGCTGTGCTCGTGACAAGGTGTGGAGCGCCAACCAGCTGCGCGCACCTGCGAAGCAGGTGCACCGTTGTCCTGCGGGTGCAACGCTGTGCAGCCGACTTGCTGCAGCGTTGGCACACAGTGGACTTGCAACGTTGGCGAACCGCTACTCTGCAACGCTGGAGCGGTGCGAGCGATGTTGCGCTGGAGCGCGGTCGACCATGCTGCGGTGGAGGTCGACCACCAGCCTTGGTAGCGCTGATGTAGTCTGTGATGCCAATGTTGTTGCTATCATTGTTCTAAAATTTTCCTAGTGAATCTCCTGCCAATTCTCCCCGTGAACTTGCGAGCAGCGTGAACACAAGGAAACGACTAAGTGAACGAACGCAGAGATCACACGCAAGCACGCGTGCCTAGCCCGTAGCCAAGCTCCCGTTGCAGCAGTTATCTCCGCAGGAAGCATGGCAGAAGGAGGGCGGAAGCAGGGCGGAGGGAGGGGGGAAGCAGGCCAGAGGGATGAGGGAAGCATGACAGAAGGAGGGGGGAAGCATGGCAGAGGGAGGGGGGAAACATGGCCGAGGGAGGGGGGAAGCATGGCAGAGGGAGGGGGGAAGCATGGCAGAGGAAGGGGGGAAGCATGGCAGGAGGAGTGGGGAAGCAGGGCATAGGGAGGGGGGAAGCAGGGCACAAGGAGTGGGGAAGCAGGGCATAGGGAGGGGGGGAGCAGGGCGGATGGTGGGGAAAGCATGGCAGAAGGAGTGGGGAAGCAGGGCATAGAAAGGGAGGAAGCGGGGCGGAAGGAGGGGGGAAGCATGGCAGAAGGAGGGCGGAAGCAGGGCAGAGGGAGGAGGGACGCAGGGCAGAGGGAGGGGGAAAGCAGGGCAGAGGGAGGGGGGAAGCATTGCAAAAGGAATGGGGAAGCAGGGCATAGGGAGGGGGGAAGCAGAGCGGAGGGTGGGGGAAGCATGGCAGAAGGAGTGGGGAAGCAGGGCATAGGGAGGGGGGAAGCGGGGCGGAAGGAGGGGGGAAGCATGGCAGAAGGAGGGCGGAAGCAGGGCGGAGGGAGGGGGGAAGCAGGCCAGAGGGATGAGGGAAGCATGACAGAAGGAGGGGGGAAGCAGGGCGGACGGAGGGGGGAAGCAGGGCGGAGGGAGGGGGGAAGCATGGCAGAGGGAGTGGGGAAGCAGGGCATAGGGAGGGGGGAAGCAGGGCGGAGGGAGGGGGGACGCAGCGCGGAGGGAGGGGGAAAGCGGGGCAGAGGGAGGGGGGAAGCATGGCAGAAGGAGAAGTGAAGTAGGGCGGAGGGAGGGGGGGAGCAGGGCGGAGGGAGGCAGGAAGCAGGGCATAGGGAGGGGGGAAGCAGGGCGGAGGGAGGTGGGACGCTAGGGGAGGCAGATGAGGCAAAGGAGAATAGATTGCCGGGTAAACAGAGCTGGTGGGAGAAAGGGAGGTTGGTCAAAATAAAGAGGGGTGTAAACAATTTGGGGGAAGTGAGGTCGACAGGGAGAGGGAGTTAGGGAAGTACCTGCTCTCACCCTCTGTCTCTCAATCTCTGCCCCTCCCCCTCTGTTCCTCCCCCTCCGTCCTTCCCCTTCTATCTCTCATCCTCGGCCTTTCACCCTCTGTCTCTCCACCTGTGTCCTTCCCCCTCTGCCTCTCCCCTTTTGTCCTTCTCACCTCCTCCGCCCGTTCCCTTCCCGTCCCCCGCCCCCCCAATCATTCCTTCACTGTCCATTCCCCCTTCAGCTGTCCATTCCCCCTTCAGCTATCCATTCCCCTCTGTCTCCCGCTTTGCCCCTACATCAGTATGCACTCACTGGGGCTGGAAGGAGCGAGGGCGTATGGGGGAGTTGCTACACTCGATGGTGTCGATGGCGACGTGGGTAGTGGCGATAAGGACAAACGCTTCCCAATTGGGGTGGCGGAGGCGACGACGGGAGGCGGGGGGATCAAGGAGCAACTGGGGCAACGACACATGCGCGATTCGTCCAACTTCAGCTAGTGATATACGGAAGATTGCGAGTGAATGGTTGAGCGCATGACGAGGGGAGGAGTGCGCGTCACGAGGGGAAGCGAGCGTGACGAGGGGAGGAGAGAGCGCAATGAGGGGAAGCATGCGTGACGACAAGGCGCATGCACGACGAGCAGAAATGCGCGCGACGAAGGGAAACGCGCGTGACGAGGGGGAACGCGCGTGACGAGGGGGAACGCGGGTGACGAAGGGAAGCGCATGACGAGGGCAAGCACAGTATCCCGGGCAGGCGCGAGTGACGAGGGCAGGCGCGAGTGACGAGGGGTAGGCACGAGTGACGAGGGCGTGCGCGGGAGGCGAGGGGGAGCGTGGGTGACGACGTGGGCTAAACATGGGTAGCATGTCAAAGCACTCGTTTGTCTCACACGTTCCGTGTGAGTAATGCGAAAACGTATGTAAATATCGACAGCAACACTATGCTTGTGCTGCCCAACTTTTGGCGAGACGGCATGAGTGACGTGAGTTGCTGTAAAAAACGGGGTCAAGGGAACTAGTTGATGCCGCACTGGCTTCCTACTTACGTGAGGGACTAGGCCGGCCATGAGTACTACTAGGCGTTCAAGATATGTGAGAGCCAAACAGCGGACCAACCTGACCTGAGCATTGTTCGGTTTTGTTTTGCGATTGTGCTCAAAAGCCAATGAGGAGTGAGCGTCGCTTGGCGTTGTTCCAGAGTTGCGAGAGTTCCGTCAAACAAAGTAGGGTAACCCTGTTTTTGACGATTTCAAGTTCAAGAATCTTGAACTTGAAAATAACCATGCTGTACCTGGGCTTTAAGTGATACATGGTGGAGGTAAGTCAGTACTCCGGAGAGAAAGGTAGGTACATGAATGCTACGGTTTAGCAGCAAATACACAGTACAAGGGTCGCCCAAGAGCCAATGAGCAAGCGCTGATCCCAATGTGGGTCAGATCCCGATGTGGGTCAGAATGGCTGTCTCCCCCCAGGTTCTGGTGCCAACATCCTAAGCAACGCCCTTGTGAATCCACCGCGATATGAAGCCCTGCACGCCTATGCCGGCTCCACTGGATGGTCGCCGCTGCCTCCGAGAGGCACCCTTGCCATTTGAGTGACTGCTACTTGCGCCTTGCACTGCTGTGGCGTCAGATGGTGCCATTGCCATGGACGGCGAGTGTGTGGACGCGTCGCCCATGACCTCCACGCACTGCGCGTCGTCTTCGTCGTCGCTTTGGTCGTCGTCTGGGCTGTCGTCCATTTCAAGCGCCCACATGTTGGCAGCGTGCTGAAGCCTGTACCAATAAAAATCAAAACGAGCGGAACATAAGACAGAGGACTCACAGCAGTCGACAAACGTGAAGGTGCGGCGCGTGGCGGCGGCAGACCATCGCGGTGCACGGATTGCGTACCTTTCGCGCACGGCGTCGAGTTCCGAGTAATCCATGGACTGCCGTCGCCCGCTCATGGACATGCGCGGAACCTGCATGCTTCGACGGCCCCCCATGGTGGCCGTCGCGCTGCGCGCACTGGGATGGCTGCGGGCCACCATGGACTGCCTTCGGGCACGCTGCGCGTCGCCCGCCGCGACCCAGCGGTCAAAGTTGTCGCTGGGAGACTCTAGCTCGCCGCGCGGCGACTCCGCTGCCGCGCCCACCGACAGATCGGCTTGCAGTGCTCGAAGCCGAGGAAGTTGCGAGGTGGCGAGCGGCAAACGAGTGGGGCCCAACGCTCGGTGCAAGCTTGGCGGGATTTCCGCGAGGTCGCACGGCTGGCTCCAGTCGCCTGAGGCAGTTTGCGCACAGTCAGGTCCTGTCGAATCGTCGTGGCTGGCGCAAGAGCCCATTCCATCATCCTCGTACCGGGGCTTGTCCGGACGGATCGCACTAACGGATTCTGCCATGAGGTCGACCGCCATGATGGCGGATGGCACAGCCAGCGAGAATCGACCTGGACGCGCGTCGGCGCGTGCAGCAGGGGCTCGGGGCAGGCTGGTTGAAATGCTGGTGCGGCAGGTGCTGGCGGAGCGAAGGGATGAAGTGACACGGACTTTGGAAGTGGCAACGTTGAGGCGAGGGTCACGACCATACGCCGTAGATGCAAGGTACGAGAGAAGCCAGTCTTCCTCTTCTGAACCCAAGCCTGTAGCGGGGCTGTTAACTCGACATGCTACGCGACCGATTTGGGACGCCATCACTCCGAGTCGTGGCTGTTAGTTGGCAGACACAGTTGAACACCAATAACTTACAAGGAAAGGATTACGTGATTGCGTAAATACACATGTTTGGACGTTCTGCAAATGATCGTGACACTCTAATTCGCTTGGACTAAGTAGCGAGCTAAAAGCTCAGAGGTCCGTGTGTGGGTGAGGGATTCTGTGTTGGCTGGCATGGCAGGCACTTGGATGTGATGGCGCGTTTTGGAGCGATGTTGTGTGAGATTCTGCTCGCATGGCTAGTGGAAGGATGACGGCGAAGGTGCGGAGGAGATTGAACGCTGAAAAAGTGGACCAATAGAGTACGAGATAACCATGCTTGGCACTGGACGGATGGATACACTCGTTCTCTGTTCTCAACATTGCTGTCAACCACCAGCTTCAAACTTGATGCTTCGGCAACCCACACAGTGGCGCAACTACACCCTCTTTCTCGCCATTGTGAATTCGGTTATAGTGAAGTCAAGATGGAAAAAGCACGGTTAACGGTGGTTAGATTAAGTCTAGGTATGGTTTAATCAGACAAATCGAAGGTAACTAGGTTTTCCATCAGTTCAGCACAGTTCAGTGTAGTGAGAAACAGGGTGTACCTCGCTCATTTATTGTCCAGCCGTCTTGGTCCACTTTGGTGGCCAAACAATAAATACGTGGTACAAAGTGGAGGTTAACCTGGAAAGCCTGGATGTAATGAGGGTACAAGCACTATGGCATCTACAAAGCCTTCGGTTTCGTAGTGACAAAAATCTTGTCTCAAACCTCAACATCCTACTAGAACTAAGAAGATCGGTAACATCGGTGATGTACTTTCTCTGGTGTGAACCAACGTAGTGTAGAAAGTAGGATTCAATCCACCTTATGGAACTCTTACAAGTCTGCCGAAAAGGTTTCAGTGTGTTGGTAGTGGAAAAAGCACGGGAAATGTTTTGGTGGAATAGTGCACCGGTTAGGTTCGGATCACCTTGCCATTGATGCATTTTGTTGGTCCCATTACTGTTTCTTCATTACTGCGTACCTTGTTTTCAACCACCCTACAAACTCGAAACAGCGTCGGCTCTACCCTGAAGCATTGTACTCCGCCCCCTTACGCTTACTGTAGATGTCGCCACCAGCATTTACAGTATATATATTTAGATGTCAGCGGGATGTTCAAAGGGCAGAGTGCCCGGAAACGATTGCTAGGCCTGATCATGTAACCCGCTGCTAGGATATTTCTGTACTTCCATCCTGCCAATCAACGCTTATATGATGCTAAAAGCTACCGTGGCGTCCTCCCCGCCAACCCTTCACCCTGGCTCTGGGAGCATGTAGTACCTGTACCGTTTTTTGGATAAAGTTCAGAACGAATTTCTTTGTTTCTGAAGTGCGAGCTTCTTTCCGAATGCATGTTTGGATCAAGGGAAGGTATCCCAGCTCCATAGTTTCAAAATTCTCTCAAATTTAGTTCTAAGTTCACTCAAAAAGTACAGCTTTCTAGAAGTTTGCTCACGCGAGGCCCAAATAATGTTCATAAGTGGTCCTGCAGGGCAAAACTTTCGACACGTGTCCAATTTCTTATTGGAAACTTTTGACGGGGGCAAAAAACATAACACCCCTAGGGGAACCAGGACACACTTTCGAGAGGGATCAACCCTAAATGCTGATACAACCAAAGATCCAGTGGATAGGATAGAATCTGTTAAGTCTGAGAGGAGACAATGAAGTCTCTGTAGTGACCTTGTTGAATAATAATTGAAGGAGAACAAGATGATTGAAAGATAGGAGTACAAGAGTTTAAGTAGAAAACTAGCTAGCCATGTACTCTGTTACAATCCCAAGTGGGACTTAGCAAATGATCGCTCAGGGTTGATCGCGGAGTAGTGTTGCAGCGGAAGTTTGAATCTCAGGTCAGAGTGAATGTAAATGACTGAGTTGATAATAGCATGCATACATCGAGTTTATATAAGAGTACAAGGGAATACGAAAGGACCTAGACTAGCCATGTACTCTAAGGGGTACATTCCCTTATCACAACTGAATTCAGAAACCGTGCGGCGCGGGAACCCGTTCAAAACCTGTTCCCGCTCTTCAAATGTTTCTGCCTGCATCGGTCTTGGTCTGACGGTTGCTGCGTCGCTTCGGCTCTTCTGACTCCTCAACTTCGTACTCGGTAGAGTCGGCTCCTGCAGCATACAGGAATGCCTTCTCATAAAACTTCGCATCGTAACACTCCCCTTCATTCCTGGGCGCGGGTGGAGCTGACTCGCTTGACTACTCCGGTGAGATCAGAGCAGTGCTTATACTGCTGACGTGGCAGACGCTTGGTGAGGAAGTCTGCTGCCATCTCAGTGGTCAGGCAGTAAGCGAGGTCTACTTTGCCTTGGTCGATTTCGTCCATGACGAAAAAGTACCGAAGCGCGATGTGCTTCGTGCGGTTCACGAATCCTGGCTTGTTCGCGATTTTGATGGCACTCTAGTTGTCACAGTGAAGGCGAAAGGTAGGCGAGGTTGGAATTTTCGCCTCCTGCAGCAGCTCCTGCAGGTACAGGCCTTCGCGAACTGCTGATGTCGCGGCGATGTATTCTGCTTCAGCTGATGACAGGGCAACCAGCTCCTGCTTCTGGGAGTTCCAGGAGATTGGTCCAGTTGGTTCCAGACGAAAAACGAAGCCGGTTCGGGACCGTCGATTTGCAGGATCAGCTGCGTGGTCTGCGTCCACGTAGCCGTTGAGGTTGAAGGAGGTCGTCGTCAACGTGGAGTAGGAGAGCCCGATGTCAGGTGTGGAGATGAAGTACTGCAGGGCGCGCTCCAAGTCCAGCTGGTTCTCAGCTACTGGCTGGCGAGAGTACTGCGCCAGTTGGCTAGCGATGTACGAAAGGTCGGGTCGGCAGGTGACAGAGGCGAATAGCAGACACCCCAACTTCTGCTGGTACATTTGTAGTCCTGCGGGCGACAGAGGTTTGTTGTCTGGTTTGTAGTTGGTGCTCGGGCTGCGATAGGGAGTTGAGAGTGGTGCGGGTGAGATGTTGAAGCGTTCCCCCAGCTGCTCTGCGTACTTGGAGGCTGACAGATGAATTGCTTCCGGCGCGTAAGTGATGTTTAATCCCAAAAACTGCTTTACTTCGAGGTTGATGGTGATGTCCACGCGCTGCGCCAGGTTCTCCTGAAACTGGTCGAGGAGTTTGTTGCAGGTCCCCGTGTACAGCAGGTCGTCTACGTAGACTGTCAGGAGGATGTAATCGCCGCTGAAGTGGAGGCGATACATTCCCGGGTCGTGTGGGAGTTGTTTGAAGCCGATTTCGAGGAGGATTTTGTGCAGATGCTGCTGCCAGAGTTGTGGCGCCTGTTTGATCCCGTAGAGTGACTTCTTCAGTTGACAGACCCTGGGATCACCTTCTCCGTAGGTGTGCGGCTGCTCCACAAAGATGGTGGCATCCACCAACGCGTACAGAAACGCGTTCTTCACGTCGATCTGTCGCAGTGGTAGGTGCTTCGCAGCAGCAATAGCGAGTAGAATCCGGACCGAAATATGGCGACTGACGGGAGCGAAGGTCTGATCGAAGTCTATGCCGTGACGCTGGTCGTACCCGCGTACGACCCAACGTGCTTTGAAGCGCTCAATAGTACCGTCAGCGTTAGTTTTGAGACGAAAGACCCATTTCCCGCTGAGCACCCTCCTCCCCTTCACTGCTGCACGATCGACTAGAACCCAAGTGTCGCGCGATTCCAGTGCTTTCAGTTCCGCATCCATCGCAGCACGCCACTCCTTGGCGTGTGGGCCGGTTAGCGCCTGGCGAGGGTTCTTAGGTTCCACGGTCCGCGCGAGAGTAGAGACGGACGTGTGCAGGCCAAGAAGTTGAAGGCCTGACACGTTGGTGGTGTCTGCGTTGGTGGGGACTTCAATCACGTCGTCATCTCCGCTCTCGTAGCTGGGTGGTGCGGTGCTTGGTTTTGTCTGGCGCCGTGATGGTCCTGGCGCGGGGTCGTCATCGCTGTCATCGTCATCGTCGTCGCGCGGGCGAGGGGGGATGTTGGGATGTTCGTCGGTGTCGTCGCGGTCCAGAACTGCTGCTGCTGCTTCATCTTCAGGGGTCGCGAAGCTGCGGCCGCTGTTGGTGTAGCCGCGTGCCTGGTTACGGCGTTCGTCCTCGATCCACTGCGTCAAGGTGAGCCGTTCGTAGAAAAGAATGTCACGCGCAGGGACAATTTCCTGATTGTCCATGTCAAGGATGAGCCATCCTTTGTGCTCGTGGCTGAGTCCTAGATGAACTCCCCAGCGTGCACGATGAACGAACTTGCCGATTGTGGCCGAAGTGGGCCGATACTGCACCATGCACCCCCAAACCCTCAGCATGGAGGGATCTCCCCTTGAACCGGTCCACTTCATGTGGGGTGACAGGTTATCCCTGTTGGCGGTGGTGGAAAGGAGGTTGTGCAGACGCACCGCGTGATTCATGGCGTACGGCCAAAATTTCTTTGGCAGGCCGGACTGGTTGATGATGGCGCGAACTTTAGTCATGAGGGTCCGATTGACCCGCTCAGCAACGCCTTGCTGTTGGTGAGCATAGGGAAGGGAAATCTCATGCTTAATCCCCTTCTCGGTGAGCACGCTCTCCAGTTCATGGCTGCGAAATTCTTTTGCCCCATCACTCTGCCAGATCTTCATTTTCCTTCCCGACTGTCGCTGCGCGTGCGCGAGGAAGATACGGAACACCTCCGGGGCTTTGGAGCGGGCGTCAACATTGGCAACCCACATGTGGTGTGAGTAGGCGTCGATGAAGGTCAGCGTGTACTTGTCGCCGTTGAGTCCGTCGCAGGTGAGTACGATGAAATCGCTGTACACCTTTTCCAATTTCTTGTAGCGGTTGGTGCTTGGCTCCAGAGAGGGATAGGCAGTGTGAGAGAGTGCGGCTGTAGGGCAGACAGTGCAAGTGGTTGGATGGGGGGTGGTGTGTTGTAACTCCATCCTGTCGGGGTGCAGCAGTGCTCCTGGCGGAAAAACTTTTGCACAGAGGCAATTGGCGAGTGTATGGCGCGAGGGGTGTCCCATCCGCTGGTGCCAGAGGTCATCCTCGGCACGGATGCCGGAGGTGCGCTTGTAGCGGGTGTGGTACTCTGCTGCCTCCTCCGCTGTGAGTTCTGGGATCTGGAGTGGGGATTCTTCCTCTTCTCCTGGTTCTGCTTCGTTGTTCTCCTCCTCTGCTTCTGCTTCTGCCGTTGCTTCCCCTTCTGCAGGTGCCGTTGAGAGATACAGGGCGAGAAATTCGCGATTGGGAATGATCGTGAGCGGGGTCGTGGTGCCTTCGATGAAGCGGGCGTACGGATCTGGGCGGGAGATTGGACCGAGTGAGTCTCGCGGAGGTGTTGGCGGTACATTCCCCTCCTCAATCTCCGACCAGGGATCACGCCAGTGATGAGGTGAGTGAGGTGGTTCGTCAGTGCGAGGGGGTCGACCGAGGGGAATGGTTACTCGAGGTGAAGCTTTGCCGCGCTCAGCTTGTATTTCTTGTTCAGCTTCCTCCAATTCCTCTTGCGTGAGCTCCCCTTCGTCAGGCTCGTTGTTTCCCCGTCCTCCTGTGGTGACCGTGCCGGTTCCCCATGCTCCAGTTGAGGTTGCGCCTTCTTCTGGATCAGCGGGCTCGTTGCCCCATCCTCCGCGCGCAGAGTCTGGGTCCCATCCTGCCGCGATGCGCTCCTCATACAGCTTCTGCCGCTTCTCCGCTTGGGCCTTCTCCTGTTCTTCCTTGACGCTCAGCTCCTCTGGTGCGTCAGGATCTTTCCAGGCAGGGTCAAACTCGCGGCGGTAGACTTCGCGAGTGTACGGGCGCGGACGTCCTTCTTCGTCGAGAGTGCGCGTGTTGGCTTCGAGGACGAATCGTAGGGTGTCCGAGTAAGGCCTTGGTCTCTCCTGCTGTTCTTGGCCGAATTTCTTGCTTGGCTCACCGAATATGCGGTGTGATGATATGGCGAGTTCTTCTCAGCGCTTTCTGCTTCCTGAATTGCCGCTTGCTCCTTTTCCACTTGCTCCGTTCGACTTGCGGTTGGTGTGTGACAGGTGGTGCACAGTCCGTGGGCGTCAGGTTCGTGAAGATTGATTTCACGCGGGTGAGGGCTTCGGCGGACCCACGGTCTTCCATCCGGATGCTCCCAAGACTCCTTGTTCATGAAAGCAAACTCGAGGGGGACAAGATCCACGAGCTCGTCCAACGAGACTTGATAGGGAGGTATGTCGAAGTCTAGGATATAGATCCCATTGATGGAGCGAGCTCGTCCGAGGTACTTGAATGCCTCAGGAGGAGTGTTCGGGGGAGCGTAGGTGAGGATGAGATCGCGCGTCGCGAGGTCTGTGTGAATGATGACGCCGCAATCGCGGAGCTGTCCAGCGGAGAGCAGGTTGAAGCGCAGGTTCGGGACGTGGAGTACGTCGTTGAACGAGATGTGCGTGTTACTATCTCGTGCTTGCAGGACGACAAGTCCTTGTGAGTTGGCGCGCAGCTGCTCGTTGTTGGCGACGGTGGCATAAGTTGCAGGGGCGCGACTTAGGTTAGAGACATAGCGCGTGAACCCCACCATGTGCTGGCCGCAGCAGCTGTCCAGGTACCAGGTGTTGTAATTGTCAGTGTTGTTACGGCGCAGCAGCAGCGCGAATCGTGGAGTTACCAGGGTGGTCTTGAAGCGCCTGTGGAAGTAAGGATCTTCGTCCTCCTTCCAGCCCACTGGTACGTAGTGCTGATTTTCGTGAGGCGGGCTTTCCCGCAGCGTGATTGGAAGGTTCCAGTCCTGCTCGTCGTCGTCGTGCAGGTAGTAGTGATCCTCGGTGAAGGGATTATTCCATCCCTCTTCTGGTTCCAGAAGTCTTCCTTGGACTTCGTTCTCCTCGTCAAGTTCAGTGGTGCGCCGGCGTCGTGTCGCCATGTTTGCGATGACATTCCTGGGAGCTCCTGACTGTGGTCCTTGATTTTGCTGGTGTTGCGCAGGAGGACGAGCTTGTTGATGCTGAGGTTGAGGATGACGAACGTCTTGTCGGCCGACCCAGTTGTTGTGGTGAGTGGAATTTGGGTGGCGGTAGTTGGATCGGGATTTACATCTATCCGTTGAGTGTCCGAAGACTTTGCATATTTTGCAGTAATGGCGCCTTGGTTGTCGTCGCTCTTCTCGGTTGTCCGTGTAGAAGGCGAGGCGCTCTCGGCGCGGCGCGGAGCTTGTTCTGCTCGAGTCCATATCCTGCTGTTCGGACAGAAGTGCGGCGCATAGCGCGGCTTCTGAAATTGTTCCTCGCTGCCGGAGTAACGCCTTGCAGGGCTTCCACTCAGGCCCGAGTCCTTGAAGGACTATATTGACGAAACTCTCTTCTGAGATCGTACTCCCATGCTTCGTGATCTGGTCACGGATGTTGCGACAGCGGTTAATATATGGATTTGCCTTCTCCCCGTGCCCCATCTTTATCTCCAGGAGTTGCTGGAGAAGCCTGCTGGCGGTGACCGAATCCTTCGGCTGGTAAACTTCAACGAGGTGCTTCCAAGCTTCCATTGCTGGAGCGTCGCTCTCTTTGTAGGAGCGTATGTTGAGTTGTTCCGCAGGCGTCATGTTGCGTAGTAGCACACTGTAAGCCATGAGGGACTCACTGTAGTACTGAGCCCTGGCAACGTTGGTGTTTTCCACCGGTTTAGGGTAGGAGCCGTCGAAGTAATGGTAGATCTGCGCCGTTTGTAGGAGGAGCTCCAGCTCAAAACTCCATGTGTAAAAATCCTTGCCGTCAAACGCGGTAGTAGTCTTAATCTTTGAAACGCTGAGGAAGCGTGTTTGCGCAGAGTTGATAGCCTCATCACTTGGACGGGGGGCAGCTGTTGCTGATTTGTCTGTGTCGAGGGAGAAGGTGTGCGCGGTGGTATCACGGCTTTTCTCAGCCGGTTGTCCAGGTTGTGCTGGTTGGGAAGAGATTCCCGCATCGCCTTTGCGCAGTTCTTGGAGTTCTTTCTCCATAGTTGAAAGTCGAGTGAAAAGTTGCTCGAGGGCGGCAGTGCCGATCGTGGTTGTCGCCTCGCTTGTCGTAGCTGGATTGGGTTGTCCTTCAGCCGTCAGATTTGCTTGGCCTCCGGAACCTCCGGCCATCTTGGTCTTGGAGCGTGTGCCGCCCGCCAGGTCTTGATTCGGCGAATTTCACGGAAGTGAAGTTGCGAAGAATCCCTGAGTAGCTCTCATACCATGTTACAATCCCAAGTGGGACTTAGCAAAGGATCGCTCAGGGTTGATCGCGGAGTAGTGTTGCAGCGGAAGTTTGAATCTCAGGTCAGAGTGAATGTAAATGACTGAGTTGATAATAGCATGCATACATCGAGTTTATATAAGAGTACAAGGGAATACGAAAGGACCTAGACTAGCCATGTACTCTAAGGGGTACATTCCCTGATTACAACTGAATTCAGAAACCGTGCGGCGCGGGAACCCGTTCAAAACCTGTACCCGCTCTTCAAATGTTTCTGCCTGCATCGGTCTTGGTCTGACGGTTGCTGCGTCGCTTCCCCTCTTCTGACTCCTCAACTTCGTACTCGGTAGAGTCGGCTCCTGCAGCATACAGGAATGCCTTCTCATAAAACTTCACATCGTAACATACTCTGAGGGGTATATTCCCTTATTAACTGTATTCCATAGCTACAGTAACCGTGACTATTGCTATCCTCGACAGTTACCATGTTGCAGCGAATTAACTGTCGCGCGGTTACTGTATTGTCAAGGGTCACGACCGTTGACTTCCTCTGACGGCTGACCTTCGGGTGACCCTCGACATTCCGCATGCTCTATATGAGCTATTGCGGTACTGGTATAGTGGAGCAGCTTCGGGAATGCTTTATATAACCTTTCGGTTATTCCAACACTCCCCTTCATTCCTGAAGGTGGGCCACGTGGGATTTCTTGGTGATCCCGCAGAGGTCGGCGCAGCGTTGATACTGCTGACGTGGTAGTTTTTTCGTTAAGAAGTCAGCTGCCATGTCACCGGTCGGGCAGTACGTCAGCTTGACTTTCCCTTTGTCGATTTCATCATTCACGAAGAAGTAGCAAAGGGCGATGTGCTTGGTGCGGTTAACGAAGCCGGGCTTGTTCGCGATTTTTATCGCGCTCTGATTGTCGCAGAGTAACGAGAAGTACCCGTTCATCGTCACTTTCGCCTCTTGCAGGAGGTCCATCAGGACAGTCCTTCGCGAACAGCTGCGCTAGCTGCGATGAATTCTGCTTCTGCTGACGAAAGAGCTATGAGTGTCAGGCATATATGCTATAGTCTGTGTAGGCTGTAGTGGGGTAGTTCATATGGGGTACAACACTTTAGGGTTTACTACTTGTACTCCTCATTCTGCTCAATGCATTCATTCCTCGTTTCTTATCATGGTATCGAGCAGGTTCCCTAGTGGGAACGCTACCTAGGGCCCACCACGATATTTTTTTTTCCTGCCCGGAGCGCGCTTCGCTCCCGCCCGAGTCGCGCTCTGTGTGCCCTCCCTACCTTCGCGCCGCCCTTAGCGGCCCCTCTCACGGCCCCTTACGCCGCCCTTACGGCCCCTCGCGCCGCCCTCTACGGCCCCTCGCACCGCCCTTACGGCCCCTTACGGCCCCTCGCGCTACCCTTACGGCCCCTTACGGCCCCGCACGCCGCCCTTACGGCCCTCGCGCGCCCCCTTTCGGCCCCTCGCGGCGCCCTTTACGGCCCCTTACGGCCCCGTTGCCGCCCCGTCTAGGCCCCTTGCGGCCCCTCTTCTGCCCCGTCTAGGCCCCTTGCGGCCCCTCTGCGGCCCCGTCTAGGCCCCTTGCGGCCCCTCTGCGGCCCCTCTGCGGCCCCGTTGCCGACACCTGCGGCCCCGTCGCTGCCACCTGCGGCCCCGTCGCCGTCACCTGCGGCCCCGTCGCCACCACCTGCGGCCCCGCCGCCGCCACCTGCGGCCCCGCCGCCGCCACCTGCGGCCCCGTCGCCGCCACCTGCGGCCCCGTCTCCGTCACCTGCGGCCCCGTCGCCGTCACCTGCGGCCCTGTCGCCCTCCCCTACAGGCCCCGTCGCTGCCCTTTGCGACCGCCTCGCCGCCCTTAGCGGCCCCATCACCTCCCCCAGCGGCCACGTCGCCGCCTTTACCGGCCCCGTCACCGCTCCGCCGCCCAGCGACCGAACCGCCGAGCCGCCCAGCAGCCGAGCCGCCAAGCCGCCCAGCAGCCAAGCCGCCCAGCAGCCGAGCCGCCCAGCAGCCGAGCCGCCGAGCAGCCGAGCCGCCCACCAGCCGAGCTGCCGAGCCGCCCAGCAGCCGAGCCGCCCAGCACCCGAGCCGCCGAGCCGCCCTACTGTCGAGCCGCTACTGTTCCTACCGGTGCGCCCCGGCCCTACTTCCTCGGACTGGTGAGATCACTCCCTACTAGGCCACTGCAGTCATGGCTACCCCCAGTGTCCATACTTTTGATGCTGAGGGCCGTGCCGTTGACTTTGAGGTCTGGGTCGATGACCTCCAGCTGTTTCTCCAGTACGATAGGGCAGACGGACTCTCTCTGTTCGATCTCACCTCTGGTGTCTCTCCCGCCCCGCCTGCTACTGCTGACAGCACTCTTCGCTCACAGTGGGCCACACGCGATGCTGCTGCTCGCCTTGCTGTGCGACGCCACTTACCGACCGCTGAGCGTGCGCACTTTAGCCAGTACAAGAGTGCTAAGACCTTGTACGACGCTGTAGTTGCACGCTACTCCTCCCCTGCCACTGCTGCTCTTAGCCGCCTCATGCTGCCGTACCTGTTCCCTGACCTTGCTGCCTTTCCCACAGTCGCTGACCTCATTACTCACCTTCGCACTAGTGACATTCGCTACCGCGCTGCGCTTCCTGCTGAGTTCTGTGCAAAGAACCCCTCCCCCATGTACATCACCCTCTACTACATAGTCACCCGCCTCCCTGACTCCCTTCGCTTAGTCAAGGACCACTTCCTCTCAGTTTGCCCCACCACTCTCACCGTCGATCTCCTCGAGGAGCGCCTCCTAGCAGCAGAGAAGAGCATAGTCGCTGTAGGAGCCTCTCGTGGTGACCCTCGCACCCCCGTCTTTGAGGGGTGTTCCCCCTCCCCCCTCTTGCCCTCTGTTGCTTCTGCTGCTGCGGCCGACCTCGTTGGTTTCGAGTCGGTCGGCGCTGCGTCTGCCCCGAGCGGGAGACGCCGCCCCAGCAAGGGCAAGGGGGGCAAGGGCACTGGAGGGGCTGGCGGGGGTGGTGGAGGTGGTGGTGGAGGCAGTGGAGGGGGTGGGGGTGGTGGTGGGAGTGGTGGCGGGGGTGGAGGTGTCGGTGGCAGCAGTGGAGGCGGAGGAGGCGGCGGCGGTGGCGGAGGGAGCGGAGGTGGCGGAGGTGGTGGAGGCGGCGGAGGCGGCGGAGGTGGCGGAGGCGGCGGCGGCAGCAGTGGACCTGGTCGCGGCTCTGCGCAGAGGAGTGGCAATGAGTTCCTGCTTCTGAGAGTTCCAGGAGATGAGTCCCGCTGGTTGGAGTTGAAAAATGAATCCTGTACGGGAGCGTCGGTTGTCAACATCTCCAGCGTGGTCGGCATCTACGTAGCCATGGAGCTGCAGGGTAGCGGTGAGGTTAGCTTCGTAAGTGAGGCCGACGTCGGGAGTGGAGATGAAGTACTGTAGTGCTCGGCGTAGATCTAGTAGATTCTCCCCTTCAGGTCGCTTCAGGAACTGTGCGAGCTGGCTTGCGACGTAGGAGAGATCGGGCCGGCACGTGACGGCGGTGAACAGTAGACATCCCAGCTGCTGCTGATAGAGACGATGGTTGTCGGGAGAGAGCGGTGTGGTGTCTGGCTCGTGGTTAGGAGGAGGAGTGCGATAGGGGGTAGTGAGATTGATTGGTGCGATGGAGAAGCGCTTCGCGAGTGTTTCAGCGTACTTGGCGGCGGAAAGGTGAATGGAGGAGGCGGATTGAGTTATATTGAGGCCGAGAAACTGAGTGACGTTGTGGTTGATTTTCACCTCCAGCTTCTCTTTGATGTCGGCCTCAAACTGGTCCAGAAGCTCCGTGTCGTCACCGGTGTAGAGAAGGTCGTCGACGTAGGCGACGAGGAGTATGAATTTCCCGTGCGATTCCCGCCTGTACATTCCGAGGTCGTGCGGCAGCTGAGTGAAGCCGAGCTCAAGGAGGACGGAATGGAGATACTGCTGCCATAGACGAGGCGCCTGCTTGATTCCGTAGAGGGATTTTTGGAGGAGGCACACGCCGCCATCATTTTCTTCGAATGCGTGCGACTGCTCGACGAAAATGGTGGCATCGACGGGAGCGTAGAGGAAGGCGCTTCCGACATCGATTTGCCGGAGCGGTCGCTGTTTGACGGCCGCGATGCAGATGAGAATGTGTACTGAGGTGTGGCGGCCGACTGGAGCGTAGGTGAGAGTGAAATCCACCAGGTGTGTTTGCTCAAATCCCCGCACTACCCAACGCGCCTTGTACTTGTCGACCGAGCCATCTGTGAGAGTTTTGATACGAAAAACCCATTTGCCGCTGAGAATTTTTCTCCCCTTTGCCGATGACCGGGGGACCAGCTTCCAGGTGCCACGATTCTTCAGTGATGCGATTTCTGCGGCCATGGCTGCTTTCCATTTTACACTGTCGGGGCCAGATAGGGCTTGGCGGACGGTGGTTGGTTCCTTGGGCGAAGTGTAGCGAACAGCGACGGCGAGGCCGAGGACGCGGAGACCGGTTTCGTCAGTCTTTTTGTAGTGAAGTTGGTCATAGTCGTGGAAGCTGGTAACTTCGACCACGTCGTCATCGCTGTCGTTGCTGAGGCGGAGGGTATCCTGCGACATGTTGGGTTGTGGTAACTCGGCATCAGGTGATCGGCGCGCTTCACTGTTGTAGTTGTGAGCTGCGCGAGTTGTATCGTTAGGATCAGGTTGGTGTAGAGGTACGAATATCGGAGTCTCGAATTGGCTTGTGAGGGGGATGCTCGGAGCGGAGTCCATTGGGGTGACATCAGGTGCGTCAGCATCCTCGGCCAGGTCAGCTTCGTTGTGTGACGTGGCGAAGCTGCGGTGGCCCTCGAAGAGCCTCTCGGGAAGTTTGTCGGCTTCCTGGTGCTCCTTAAAAAGGGGCAGAGTCAGCTTCTCGTAGAAGATGCAGTCACGTGATTTCGTCACCTCGTGTGTCGCGTAGTCCAGCACGATCCACGCCTTGAATTCCTTCTCGATGCCGAGGTGGATGCCCCATCGTGCCCGGTCAGCAAATTTTCCGGTTCTCGCAGTGTGGGGTCCGTACTGTACCATGCAGCCCAACACCCGAAGCAGGCGTGTATCTGCTTTTCTGCCCGTCCATGCCCGGTAGGGAGAGTTGTTGTTCTCGAGGCTTCGCAAGGACAGCAAGTTGTGTAGCCGAACAGCGTGATTCATCGCAAACGGCCAATATTTTGTTGGGATGGCCGACTGCTTCATCAGGGCCCTCATCCGCGTGGCGAGGCTTCTGTTCGTCCGTTCTGCTACTCCTTGCTGTTGGTGAGCGTAGGGCAGGGACACCAGGTGCTCAATCCCCTTCTGCTTGAGGAGCTCCTTGAACTCGTCTGAGAAGAACTCCAGGGCTCCGTCCGTCTGCCAGGTTTTGAGTTTGAGACCGGACTGTCGCTCAGCTCGCTTCATCCACGCAATGAAGCACTCGAAGGCCAGAGACCTGCTGTCGGTGTTGACGGCCCAGACGTAGCGAGTACATGCGTCGATGAAGGTAAGTGTGTACTGCTCCCCGTCGAGCCCCTCCTGGCTGAACACCATAAAGTCGCTGTAGACCTTGTCCAGCGGCTTGTAGCGTTCATACCCTGGGGGCAAGTCAGGGAACGGCTAGTGATTGAGCGACGCGGTTGGGCAGACGATGCATGGTGGGTTAGGTGAGTCCGCGGTAAGCGAACCGTTTCGAGGGAGGAGAAGCGCGTCGTTGTCGAAGACTCTTGCTTTGAGCGAGTTCTTGAGCGTGGCGTGGGAGGGATGGCCGAGCCGTTGGTGCCATGTTTCTGGGTCCGCACGGTAACCGACTGTCTTTTGATAGTATTTTTGTCGCGCTGTTTTGTCGTTTCCCTCCCCTTCAGGTCCTGCGTCGGTGGCGGAGTCGATGTCGGCGGCGAGCGCGCGAATTGCCTTTCGCTCCAGAAGCACGCGGGGGATACCGATGATGTCGTCGGTGTCGCCGGCTTCGACTTGGTCTCCGGTAACGAGCAGGCATTGGTTGGGCCATTCCCGAACTGGGAGTCCCTTCACGGGGATTCTGAAGTAACTGTATTCAGCGCCGATGACCTCAATTTCTTGTGGTCCTTTTACTGGCGGCTCCGGCTCCTCGGTAGGTTTGGGTAACTCTGTTGGTTCTCCCATGAATTCGTAGGTTTCTTCTTCTTCTGACCCTTTTTCCCTTTGCTCGGGTGTGTCAGGGGCATATTGATCTGGGAGAGGTGGACCTCCCCAGCAGGTGCCGCGAGCTGCCCAGTATGGGTCGACGATGGCAACTTCCGCAGGAGGAAAAACAGCTGCTTCCGCGTGCCTTTGTTCTGCTTCGGCCGTGGTGCCCCATCCTCCTCTGGCGCCAACTTCCTCTGCTGGAACTGCTCCCCTCCAACTTGCGGCTGCTTCTTCTAGAGTTAGTACTTCTCCCCAGGGTCCGAGCACGGGCTCGGAAGTGTTCCAGCCCGGCCAGTGTGTCTCCGCTGTCTTGTTTTCCTCGGTTGGTTGAGTTGCAGGTCCTGACGTGCCGCTGTCTTCTTCCATTGTGGCAGGTCTGGTTTCTGCAGGGTTGGAGGTCGAGGCAGTCGGGACAGTCCGCAAGCGTAGAAGGCCGTCGGAGGCTGGTCGTTCGAGGTCCATCTCGTCGGGATGTGACCATGTTGACGGCTGCGTGGGAGTTGTTTTCAGTAGCAGTGTGCGGTGGGAGTCGCCGGTGGTGCCGTGAGCCGAAAACTGCAGCACGAAGACTCCATCGTTATCGATCGCGTTTCCGATGTAAGTTTCGTTGTGGAAGAGCTCGAAGGTCTTTTCTTTCCGATTGCTGCAAATGTCGATTCCGCACCGCATGAGTTGAGCTGATGAGAGTAAGTTGTATTGTAGATCAGGGGCGACGAGAACGTCCCCGATGTGAATGGTGAACTTCGTGTCATCGGCCTCGAGGTAGATTTCCCCAATCTCATATGCCTTCATTTTTCCGTTGTTGGCGGGGGTGATTTCGCAGGGTCGTCGCATGCGTCGGGAGTTGCTGATGAACCTTGGCGATCCCACCATGTGTTGTCCGCAGCAACTGCCGAGGTACCATGTGTCCAGATCCTCGTAGCGCTGGCGGGCGAGGTTGGCGATCTTGGGTGTGACGATGCGATCGAGGTCGCCGGTGTACGGTGAGAGGGCGAAATATCTGTTTGCGGAAATGCTCGGCGGCGATTCCGGAGTAGGGGGAGGGAGCTCGAAGTCGGGAGGAATGTCTGAGGGGCGAGAGGGCCAGGTAAAAGCTTTTGGGTCATTGTCTGGACTGGGCGCAACGGGGTTGATGGGATCGTCGCAAGTGAATGTTGTTCGATCCCAGTAACGGGACCCTTTGTTGCGTCGAGCCATGCAGCTTATGATAGTCCCTTTTCCTTTGTCCTTCGCCGTGATGAGTGCAGGGGATTGGGAAGTGCTGGCGACGGAAGGAGGCGACACAGTGGCAGAGGGCTTTGTCTGCGTCGATGGTTGTTGCGCCGCTCGTCAGCGGCCTGACGCTTGTAGCACTGGTTGATAGAGTGGCCAGACTTCTTGCACTATTTGCAGAAAGCTCCCTTCTTTCCGCGTTGTTCCCCTTGTGATGCTCCTGTGTAGAAGAATAATTTCTCCCGTTTAACATTCTTCTCGTTGTACAGGTCAATTTCCTTCTGCTCCGAAAGAAGCGTGGCGCACAGAGCTGACTCTGATATGGTTGCTCGGGCGCGAAGGAGTGACTGGCATTGTCGCCAGTCGAGGCCGAGGCCAGAGATGACCATCGAGATGAACATGTCGTCGGGGACGGTCCCACCGCATTTCTTGACTTGGTCACGCAGATTGCGGCACCGGTTGACATACGGTCCCGCTTTCTCCCCTTTCTTCATTTTAACTGAAGTCAATTGGCTGAGTAGACGGCTCATCGTAACTGGATCTGTTGCCATGTATGAGTTGCGCAGGTGTTCCGAGGAGGCTTGCGCCGGAGCCCACTCCGTCTTATAAGGGCGAATGCCGAGCCGCTCTTCAGGTGAGAGATTGCGAAGAAGAGCGGTGTACGCGAGGAGGGATTCGTGGTAGTATTGATGCTTCTCCCGGATGGTACCTTCCGAGGGAAAAGGTAGGCTTCCGTCGTAGTACATCCAGATTTGAGCGGTTGTCACGAGAAGCTCGAATTCGAAACTCCACGTGTAGAAATCCTTTCCGTCGAAAGGAGTTGAGGTCTTCAATTTTGAAGTCAGTACAAATTTGGTTTGCATTGAAGCAATTTCT